ACTTGTGTTTATTGGATTGATAGAAGACTTAGAAAGCAATAATCAAAAGAGCAAAACGAAATTGCTTGCCTTAAAAAGCAAAATGGGATAGGATTGATTTTCGGTCCCAGAATCACTGGTCGGTTCTTGCAGAGAACGGCCTCTTGATAGTTTATAACTGTTTATTATATAAAATGTATAGTGCTTTATACTAGAGATTTCGGGCACTGATAAAACTGACAATCTCACATGTGAGACAATGAGATTATCATGATAATTTCGCATGTGAAAGTTATCGCTTTTCAATTATCGCTTTTCTGTAAAAATTATTGCTTTTCAAAGGCTGTCCTTTATATTTGCGCTCACTCTTGAGATATCATGTTCAACACTCGAAATAAATCTGGTATTCCGCGCACCCATGTATTATTCTCTATATAATTCAATAATTAGTGTACATTTTGTAAAATTCCACCATGTATATAGTTCAGTTTATACTGCAATTTGGTTCTAATAAACCGATTATTATTATTATATTATTATTATTATTATTATTATTATTATTATTATTATTATTATAATCCGGAATTACTGAACATTTAAGGATATTCATTATTAATATGTAAATATTAAGCAGGTTCAAGTAGTCAATTATAAATTACCTAAATTAGTGAGATTTATAATTGTATATATACGTATATAATTTCAATAAAGTTTCCATTATTAGTATTATTACAGACTGTTCTTTTTGTCTAAGCCCTGAAACATTACTACACATAGTAGCTGGATGTCAGTTTTATCTCGACCGATTTACGTGGAGACACAATTCAGTCCTGAACGTTCTTGCTAATACTTTACAAACTGTTGACGGTTCTACTCTCTACGCTGATCTACATGGATTCAAAAGCCCTTCAATACTTACTGGTGATACGTATCGCCCAGATTTGTTATTATCGTGCTCAAATGGTCCCTTATATGTGGTCGAACTCACCACTGGTTATGAGACAAACCTCAAGAACAACGTAAAACGGAAGAAGGATAAATATAGAGAATTATTGAGACAGCTAGGTAAAAATTTTAACCAAGTTAAATTTATAAATCTCTCTATCAGCTCTTTAGGTATTTTTGCAGAAGAATGTTCTACATTTTTAGACATGTTAGAAAGTATTGGTCTTGACAAAAACCACCAAATGTACTGCGTTAAGAAAATGATGACTATTGCTATTAGAACTACATATTACATTTTTTGCTGCCGAAATAAAGAATGGGAAAATCCGGATTTACTAACAATTTGACTGATCTGATTGTATATATATATATATTGCATGCACTTTGTTCTGTTATTTTAGATTAGTATTGTGTGATTCAAATAGCCAACCGTAAGTTACCTTTATGAGAGAGATTTACGATTGTATATGTATGTAAAGAAAAACATTTAATAAAGTTTTCATTATTATTATTATTATTATTATTATTATTTAGTTCTTTAGGCGTTTTCTCAAAAGAATGTCATTCCTTTTTAGATATGTTAACTGATCTAGGTCTTGATAAAAGACACCAATATTTCGCTATCAGCAAAATTATGTCTATCGCGATTAGGACAACATATTATATATTTTGTTGCAGAGATAAGGACTGGTTAAATCCGGAATTACTGAACATTTAAGGATACTCATTATTAATATATAAATATTAAGCAGGTTCAAGTAGTCAATTATAAATTACCTAAATTAGTGAGATTTATAATTGTATATATACGTATATAATTTCAATAAAGTTTCCATATTTATTATTATTATTATTATTAATTACAGTTCTACGCAATGCCCTAAAAACATCTCCAAACGATTCAATTAACGAACTGTGGAAGTCAACTAATAATCATACTAACATTCAATACGATAGCTACAATTCAACTAAAGAAGTTTTAAAAACTTTCCATTCTCAACAAGAAAATAAACTTAGGGACCGTTTGAAATGTCAAGGTTCCTTTTTCGAAAACGTTTCTAAATTCTCCCTATCACAACTTAACGCAATCTGGTCGGTATCGCAATCAAAGCTACCAAAGAAAATTTTCAACTTTACAATTCGCTATATGAATAATACCCTTCCTACCCGAAAGAACCTCAGTAGATGGGGAATTTCATCAAGTTCTGACTGCTCGTTCTGCTTACACCCTGAATCACTTCTGCACGTTGTTGCCGGTTGTCAACACTACTTGGAACGATTTACTTGGAGACACGATTGCATACTAAAGTTTCTTGCAAAAACCTTTCAAAATTTAAACGAATGCAAATTACTTGTTGATCTTCCCGGATTTGAAAGCCCCTCGATTATTATGGGTGATGAATATCGTCCTGATTTACTTGTCTCCACTTCAGACAAACACCTCCGTTGTTGAACTTACCGTAGGCTTTGAATCAAACCTCACAAACAATGTTAACCGCAAGAAAGCTAAATATAAGAACCTAATTAGAGAACTAGATCAAAACTTTACATCTGTTAAATTTATAAATCTTTCAGTCAGTTCGCTAGGGGTGTTTGACAAAGAATGCCATACATTCGTAAAAATGCTAAATGAGTTAGGACTGGATAATCAACACCAACAATATTGTATCAGAAAAATGATATCTATTGCCATCCGATCAACGTACTACATATTTTGCTGTAGAAATAAAGAATGGACAAATCCCGAACTAATGAACATTTAAAGTAACTATTTCTATAAATAATTAACAATTTTTGTATATAAAACTATAACCACGTATAAGTGATTCAAGTAGTCAATTGTAGGTTACCTCAAGAAGTGAGATTTACAATTGTATATATCTATAAATGTTCTATTAATAAAGTTTTCATTATTATTATTATTATTATTATTATTAAAATCGTTTTCTTCAAAAGTAACTTGTCGATTGGAATAAAGGCGGATTTCCAGTTCTCGCACGAAGCTCCTCGCAGCTCGCAGCGAGTGCATGCATGAGCACTTTCATCCAATCACAATGCTAAACAGTTAATTTTAATTAGATGGAAGCACTCGCAGCAGTGGCGTAAAGCTCATTGGGTAGGGTTAGTTCAAAAACTAAGGGCCCCTGACAGTTAGGGGCCCCATCACCCACGGCCTATCGCCCAGAAAATTAGAAAATGTAAAAAATGCAGGTTAACGATCAATAGGAAAATGCAAAATTAATATAAATGCTAAATAATAAAGCCTCCATCGACAACGGTAGCTGATTTTTTAATTCCATCTCAAATAAAACAAATGTTATTTTTATTAGTTGTTACATGTGTTGGAGACTGTTATTGCTATAGACATGGAATTTTCCAGAACATTTCATAAATATTCAATATAAATATAATATCTCAGTCAAACAATGACAACAGGGGCCCCCACACCAAATATGCCTAAGGGCCCCCTGTTCCTCCGTTACGCTACTGACTCGCAGCGAGCTGCGAGGAGCTTCGTGCGAGGACTGGAAATCCGCCTTAACAGTGCCCTCTCCTCCGCAGAGGCTTACATGAAGTTTCTAGTGAGGGAAAAGTGAGCGCGCAAGGAGTGATGGGAAGAGCGAAGTAAAGGACGCCTCTGCTAGTTAATGCAATCAATATGGCGTCGAATATACTCGTTTGGAGTTCGGTTCAATATCAACCTTCGGGGGGTGTTAAACCATGTTTTCCTCTTTCCTTTTCAGGCGTATTTGAGTCTCCTGGAGTGAATCCAATATCAATATCTTCTTCTGTCCATTTGCACAGAAAACTATTAAGAAATTGCAAATGAATGCTATGGATATGACCTATCTCATTATAAATATCCTCTAAATTGCATCATTTCTTTATAAAAATGACTCTACTGACCTTCGATACTCAGATTATGAAGATTTATTTCAATTTCTTCCACAATTCGGTCCATTTCAAGTTAAAAAAATACAAACAAAGGTTTGTTTAAAAAACCATACCTTTTAGCATTATGTCAATCTCGTACCCAGAGCAATGCCTGTGCGCGGGCTAGGATGGCATTGGCTCTGGGAAAATTGAATTTTTCCTGTGTTGTGATTGGTTTAACGTTTATCAATCGTGCATGCCGACAAAGAACCGGAACCCCTAAATTTAGGGTTGTCAATTTCCCCAGAGCCAATGCCATCCTAGCCCGCGCACAGGCATTGCTCTGGGTACGAGATCGGCATTATGTGGCTCAGCCTTCTCGCTCGACTTCATTCCAATCTTCCCATTTTATTGCTCACTTTTATTCAGGAAACTTCATGTAAGTTATTTGTAAATACTAAACGAACGAGGTCCATGAACACCAAACGAGACAAGCCAAACATGATTTCCTACCACCAAAGCCTAAAACAAATTACCTGAAAAAGGCAATTAGCTATAGAGGTGCAGTGGCCTGGAATAATCCACCAAGTGCAGTGGCCTGGAATAATCCACTCAAGATTATCAATTGAGAGTATATTTTAATAGTGTTAGTATTTGTTACATTAGTAAGTAATATGTATGTTGACTAGTCTATATGTATATTGTAGATAGTGTCATAAGATAGTTAAACACTCGGCCTATTGGAAGATCACAGTATTTTTATTTTCCCTTCTCTTTTATACATAATTAAATTAAATGTAAGTAGTTTGTGAAATAGTACCGTGTTTAAATAAAGTTTAATAATAATAATAATAATAATAATAATAATAATAATAATAATATTCGGGTAGGTGGAGCTCGTCAACCTTGGATGGTAGTTCACCTAGGAGAAGGAAACTCTGATTTTAAACCAGGGCATATGAGGCTCTTCAGCCTTGGCTGGCAACTCATATAGTGGTATTTCCACGACGAAATCAACTCGTAACTCAAGATGTCAATCGTGTCGATGAGTGAATGGCCACTGCGTCATGTGGTCGCTAACAATGGCTGATAGGAAGTAGCGACACCTGTCAGTAATAGCTTTATCCTGAGAGTCGGGCAACACAGGATGGACTTACAACCCGTACATATTACATGAACCTCATATATATGGGTGAAAAATTATGAATACTACTAATGTAGAAGACAACGACGTAAATGAGACTGGAACGACTAGTGAAGGTCCCTCGTCCGGCAGGTGTCCTGTGGATCAGCAGCACATGCCCAGTCGTCATGCTACTGCTGAAGCTATAAGATTGAAATGGACGAAAGAAATCAATGTTGTAATAATGGAGTGCTTTTATTTAAGTAAGCCGTTTAGCGAAAATGGAAAACCTCAACGAGGATACCGACAGCGAATGCATAGGATCTGGAATGAGAGAGGAGTGTTTCCCGCAAAAGAACAAAGAATTTGGACAATTTGTGATCAAGCTAGAGCAATAAGGAAGAACGGTTGGTTAACAGACATTGAACTGGAGAGTATAAAACAAAGAGTATTAAGAGTCCGTCTCTGTAATTTCCGACCACTCGATACTGGTTCAAAAATAAACCCAGCCTTAATTAAACTTTGTGTGTGGATTAAGAAACCCTTGCTTATCATCAATACAAAAGGGGTTTGTTTCAAATTTCAAAAGATTTCGATATTTGGTCAATTTTACGTGTGTACGTCGAAGCACGAAATTAGCATCGCTGCAACACACAAAAATTAGTCATCTTTGTCACGTTCTCGCGCTCTCAAAAATGATT